CGAGACGACCACAGGTCGAGATCGTCGCCCAGGTGGAACATTTTCGGTGGTAATAGAGTTGGTTGAATTCGGTGGCCATCCACTTGTGCAATATCAGTCGACGTCTTTTCCATTTCGTCTCCAGTTGTGCGTGTCATGTTGGGTTTAGCAGGCATGTCGCATATAAGTCTCGGGACTGACTTTATCCCATCTCTGTCACCAATGTAGCGTGGGACGTCAGGTCAGGAGCGGTATTCGACGTTCGAGAGGGAGTGACGGCACACGTCGGTTCTGAAATGTGCACATATATGGTATTAGTGAATCCACACGGCATACACAGCACACACGCGCACAGGTCGGGTGAAACAGGAAAGAGGACCGGAGTGTGGCAACAACACACGTGTATTCAACCGAAACCGAAACCGGAAGTCGGGGGTACAAAAGCCAGGTCAAGGTCAGTCAGGGGGTGTACAAGCGGCTACTCTTTCCTGTCCGGAGCTCGTGGCGGTTCGACCATGGTACCTGCAATAGGAAGAGAGAGGGGGAGGGACACAGATAAGCTCATGTGGTAGACGTGCATGCAAATACAGTTGAGTTTCAACTGCGTTACATCACTGAAACACAAAATATGCGCGTACAGTGGAGTCCGCTTTCGTTTAAACAAGTTATAATAAAACTAGTGCCGCGTAAGATGTTAAATGCTTGAACAATAACCATCAAATGCTAAAACTGTATGATAAGGTTTCCCTTTTTCGAACCAAGTTTTCAGAGAAGTTTTGGATGGGCGTCTAGGATGCGGCATAGCACCGGCCGCTGGCTATTGGCACACCCAAATTGAGTTCGCCGATACTATAGGGTTTTCGAAGTTGCTATTTTAATGGGGAGTCATACTAAAAAATCTGAAACTTCCCGTGACATGTTGCACGTGGCATTTTGTTTAAGTGAGCGAAATGTCATGGTGATTGACCATCGCCGATTTGCATTTTTTGCCGGTTTATGCGACACAAAACGCGAAATCGCAGTTTAGCATATTTTGGCGTTCTTCGGCGTTCTTGAAGAATAAAATAACATCTTAAGAGTATCTAATGCAAATGCCGCCCTACAGTATCAGTCGTGGACGTTTGTTTGCTTAAGACCCCTGAGATTTGACAAATGGGATATTTTTGTTCGGCGAACCTGCTCACAACATATTTTCCTCATGGAGCTCATATTCCATTAAGTGCAATAACGTTGGATAACAGCACAAACTTGCAGTAGCAGTGCGAGGGCCATCTGTGGATGAGCCCCTTTCCCAAATATGAATAACTAGCTTGTAGATAATACAGTGTTACGAGATAGCTGCGGGCGTCTTATTATAACTGTGAAGTTCTATAGGTGGTGACCACCATAAAGCGGTCACCATGACGGTAGCCGTTATCACTCACCTCGACTACCTGTTGTAGCTGCTAGATCCGTGTCTATGTGCGACGATAATTACGGTTCCCCACATATGCGCGGCAGCCCAATCCAACGAGCAACGACGGCCCTGTGTACTCGCATCTCTACTAGTTTTCACTCATCTCGAATACTTGTTGTAACTGCTAGGCTCGCGTTTATGTGCAGCGTTGATAATGAGGCTGCACAGCAACATAATCCGATGGTCAATGACGGTCTTTTATACCCTTAACCATACGCGATGCCGTTTGTCTTCGCTAGCTACAGTAAACATCAGTGCGATATATATGCCGACCGGTAAAAATAAGGAGTCAGCTATGCGTGATAGCCACATGTGACAGCCCGTTATAAACACAGCTATACTCGAAGTCACCTAACTTGGCTATTGATCGTACCTGTTGAGTCAGTGTCCTTGTTCATACATCTAATGGCAAACGATGGACCTAATACTCAAAACTGTACACGATATCGCGTACCTCGACTGCTCATTGAAACTGCTAGGACAGTCCTTATATGCGACGCTGCTTGGTAGGCCTCGGCTATGCGAAGTGTCCTGATTTAACTACCAACGACGGCCCGTCATTGATTGAGTGATTCGGCATTTGGGGCCTTCGAGTGACAATCGCACGAATTCTTCGTCATCAGGGGGTTCAGCGGCAGGGTCGGTTGGCTGGCCACAGAGACGCATCTTCACTGCCGTACCTGCCTGCCACCTACAGTAACCACCAAGCCAGTATCTATGCAGGCAGATAGGAACCAGGTTCCAACTATGCGTGACATCTTAAAGACCAACGGCTGCCCGTCATACTCGTAAATGAAGTTGATATCGCCTACCTTGGCTGCTTATCGTAATTGCAAAACCTGCGTCTATGTGCAACGCTGAGCATAAAGCTGATGGTCTTTCATACACTTAACTATACGCGATGCCGCTTATCTTCGCTACCTACAGTACACATGCTCGTAGCTAACCATAATGCCCCGGCAACGCATAATAGACTAACCCAACAATCAACAGTGGTCATCACCCGTCACACTGCAATCACCACCCACTTTGATAGCGCACTTCCAACTCCTACTCTCGATTGTAGTCCCTCGACCGCCCCCTCAATTACCCGAAGCAATGAGCTCTCGCTCACCTCGACTACTTACCCCCTCAATTGAAGCAATGAGCTCTCGCTCACCTCGACTACTTAGCGTAACTGCTATTCGCGACGCAGATTATGAGGACTCACCTATGCATGCAAACGTAATACAATCGCCAACGACGGCGCTCCATACTCGTAACTCCACGCGTTGATGAGCCCCCCCCATGAATTTACGAAAACACCATTGGCGAATTGCATTTTATTCATTGGCATCGCTGATACAAGCTTAATTGGTAGTCGCTCCATTTTTCATGTTCTTAAGATCCACTTCACGGGAC